CCATCTGACATGTGCGCGCGCATTCATCCGACATGCGTACTTCGCGCGAGTGCGCGCTGTCTGAAGCCTGTTACCCGGGTTATTTCTATCATACAAAACACCCTTGGTTTAAATCGCACTTTGACGCTTTACAGGACGTAGTTCTCTTTAAATTCCGACAGTGCGAAATACCGTGTTTTGCATTGTATTATCGTTGCCTGGAGACCGCGATCGATTGCCCTTTGCCTTGACAGTGATTGTACTGCTGCAGCTTCGAATGCCTGTCATTGTTTAGTTTAGCAGTGCTGGGATAGGCCAAAGGTTGTAGGTCGATTACAAGAATTTACTTATAGTAGAGATAAACATAAACTAGGGATTCCCCAAATTAACGCTAGACATTGGTGTTCGATAACTGCGTATGCTTTCTCGCGCGGTAGTATACCTTACGACTTGAGGACGCCATCGGGAGCAGTCGATCTCAATAATTATGTATAGTAGCACATACAGAAGGCACGTTTTGCTAAGGGGTCTTATCAAGGTATGGCCTCGGAAATGTTAAAATGTAAGATGCTCCCTCCTACATTCTGAAGCAGTTAGAGAATACATTTCGGAAGTATTCCCTCCTTTGACTAGTATAACATTTTAGTCAGCGGCTGAAGGATGGGGGTGGTTAGTTTCAACGCCCAACTCCACTTAAATAAAAGTATTCACACAATGTTGGACGTGTCATACTAATGTGGGAGAACGGGGTATTTTCCCCTTTAATGCATTGGATTGTGTAGACTTCTTCGAGTTGTGTCCATACTTACATGAAGTCCCTTTAATGTTAAGCACTGTATCTGGGCAGATGCCACTTAACCCATGTAAACAACTGTATCCATTCTCAACCATTGGAATATAGTGCTTGCATTTGCAAGCTTTGGAAAACATTTTGCTTATCAAATGGGAAATTCAGCTTTACATAATTAATTAATAATTCTGTTTGAATAGTTTATGGGGCATATTATAACTTTTGTTAATTGAGATAAACACTTACTAAGTGCGGAGTGATAAGTCCGCCCAGCTAGTACGAGTGTGTAACAACTTTTCAGGGTTCTCACTCTCTCTGCTTTTCGCTGTCGATGGGCTAAAAGACGTGGAAGGTTGCTGGAAATTGGAAGCCAAATTCTTTCTTTTTGGGAGATGATAGGCATCCCGACAGGATGCCAGAAGTAAGTTTATTGTTTATTCCTTCCGATGAGGGAACTTTAAGCTGAATGGCTTGATGATTTAAGCTGGAAAATGTGTGCTTTTGGGGGTGTACGAATGGCTGTTTTTCGTAAATAATAGTGCGTATCGTACACGTGCAACCAACTCGGCCCTATATTGTTTATTGCAGTATGCGGCTGTGAGTGAGAGCAGTCTGGCTTGGGGGTTTTAGTTTTCTACAATACTGATGTTTCTACCATGTGCCAATGCTAATTGATGATCAATGAAGACGAACCAAGATAATTAAATGATGAGATAATCAAGTACAAGATCAGTGAGTGCAGTCCAGAGTTGTTATTCCATCCCAAGGGTACACACCCTCAACCCCGAGGTGGAGTCCACACCCTCTCCCTGATAGGAGACAACTAGCTCCTATTCCATGACACTAACACTTATCGTAGCTCGACCCTCATCGAGTCTTTATTCAATACACCATCATCGAAAAATACAATTATCCCGAGGCGCCCCCCCCCCACACACACACAGATCGTAACTCGGACCATGCCACAAAAGTTTTCTTATCGTCCCTAGCCTGATCTCGATGCAAAATCAGGCGAACTCTTTAGCACATTATCCGAACCACATCACAGTTTGCTCTTAAATATACCCCACTATTTATCATACGTATTCAAAAATCAGTCTATCCCGCACATGCGCGCTAACATTTCATTATGGTGTAAATCGAGGATTTTCTATTGTTACTCTTCCCTTTTCCTTTGTTTATACTCTAACTTTTAGCAACAGCTCTTAATTGGTTTTGTACACGTTTTTTTAATCGAGGTCGTCCTCGATTTGGTTCCTGTCCTCGATTCATCGATGATGTTACACGAGGGTGTCCTCGATTTACACCATAAACAAACGCATTTATAACCGACGTGTATATTTGCCTGCAATCTCCCTTGTTTGTACTCTTTTTAGGAAGACCTCCCATATGTTTTGTAAACGAATCAAAATTGGGGACCTTCGGGAATTGGGGACCCTATTGTCTTTTATTGTTCAACGTCCCCAATTGAATGCAGAAACAAACTCACGCACACCACAACTGACCATTTCACTCAGTGTCCTCCTAATCCGTCCCTACCTCATCCTGTTACGAAATCAATCCTGACCAGCCCATACACCATTACCATACACATCGCCAAATTATAGAGGGCGCGCTTTCAGGTGATGTCACCATCACACTGACGGGTGCAGTCCTGTAAATTGGCCCAGAATTGCCTATACGCGAGCCAAATCACGGTTTTGTATGCCCAATCACGATTTGCATGTCCCCTCTTTGCTTTGGAAGCATTTTGTGGACCATGAACTTAAAAGTTTGTAAACAAGAAGTGTTATAGGAGTGTGAGCTCGTATTACTGTGAAAGTCAGATGAAATTGGGCCCTACCATTGCTTTATTTTGCAATGGAGAGCAGGCATACTTTTCAAAATGGCGATGGGCTACAGGACTACTTGTAAGGGTGATCATCTTTGGATGGAAGTTTCTCCCATAAGTAATCGGGTTACATTACAACCAAACATTGAACAGAAAATGAAAGATGATGAAATAAGCTTTAATTTGATGGGTGTCTCAAACATATTGGAGAGTTGTGAATACTTAAATTGTTTTTGGAAGCACAAGTAATTATCACTGAGGTCTATGGGAGTTGATTTACAAGTCAGCACTCTTACTCAAGTTTTGGCATACCGTTCTCAACATTGGAATTATTTGAATGTTAAAAAAGTGCACTTTACAATAAAATTAACCGAAAAGGAATGTCAAATAGTTTACATTCATTTAGGGGAGAAGAAGGTTGCACAAAATATGTTTCTGAGGCCTCTGTATACAGGGCTGCGACCATTTTACCACCTATGACCGACCAACAAATGGCCAGGACGCTCAATGGTCGCACCCTTCGTGGATCAAGCCCAAAAAAATTACGCGGTGGAACCAAGTGGAGAATTTTGTCACCACATGTGCTTATAGGTCAATAACCCTGGCATGCCTGTACATGCACAAGATAAAGGCCATTCACATGGCCAGGGATTGTTTACAACCTGAGCTCTGGGCGGCACGAGGGGTTGACACAAAGGGATCGGTGGCACTTAGGGGTTGGCCACTAAGATCTCCAATTACTGCACAAAGGCATTAGGCACCATCTTGGCTTCTGTCTTTCAACACTCCTTACTCCGGAGTGGCTACACAGTCATACCAGATTAGCGGAACTGATTATTCAGTGTAATAGGATATTACATTTCATATGAACACGAGACGATAAACGCTCATGCATAGCGAACAACAGTGATGGTTCAATAGCATCTGAACTATAGGTCTGGCCAATGGGAGTCTACAGGCTTGTGGTGTATAGTAGGGGTGAAGATTACATGGAAGCTTGGCCTTATTGGCCCATTGAAAAAAAATTACGCCCATATTTGGAAAATTACGCCCATATTTGGAAAATGTGGAGAATTTTAACACCGCGTGGCTGCTGCGAGGGTTTTAATAATTAATTAACCCAAAAATCCTGTTTCCATGTATCCAGCGATCCTTGTGCCTCTCTTGAACCACCAAAACTGCAATTTTCGGGCATTTTTATGTCGAGCTACGAGCGACCTGTACGTCCATGAGCCACTTGCCAGCCTCCCCTGTGCTTCCCCTGTGCGACCTAAGGCCATGGTGCCTCAATGGTTGCCGTGGTCGCCAAATGGAGGCACATCGGTCGCCACAGTTTAATGCACGCTATTGGTCGGCCAAAGGAGGCACAAGGGAGGCACAAGGGAGGCACAAGGGAGGCAGAAGTATCGCCCAGAATGACGGTGAAAATTTGCAACAGAACGGATCTATTACATGGCGACCATTGGCCGACCATTGTGCATCCATTCTGCAACCACGGCAATGCTTGTGCCTCCCTTCTGCCTCATTAATTTGAGCCACTTTTGAGCAACCAACCTCCTCGGCGACATTGTGCGACTGTTTTGAACATTACGGCTACCATGGCGTCCATGGCAATGTCTGAACATCCTGTGTACCACCTTTGAACGACCTAGGCAACCATTCGGCCTCCTTCGAGCCTCCAACGGCGACCTGGCCAGTTTTATGGTCGAAAAAGGGAGGCCCAAAAGTCGCAGCCCTGGACCTGTGTAAAGGGGTCTAAGGGCCCTGTCAGACTGTCTGCAATCGGGGGTGATAATGGGGATAAAAACCAAAATTTTGGAATACGATTGCGCCCAATTTAGAGGTGATGTATTTGGTCATTTGAGGGATATTTAACATGGGAAGTGGGTATCTAGCATGAAATAAACCCCCACCCCACCCCCAAAAAACTAAAACTGCACTGTACGCACAGTGGACGGGCAGTAAGTTATTGCGATATGAATGCCTTTTTTGCCGATTTTTCGCACCTCTTTTTCCTTTCCCCCCATTTTCCTTTTCAAAGCGCCCCCCCCCCCCTTGTTACCTCCCCCCCCCTCGCGACGCCCATGTGCTTTTAGATTTGATTATATAATGTTATCTGTTAACACTCCTTATCCAAATGCAACATAAATACCTTTACGTTGTGCAGGACATTTACTCAAGGTTTTTGAGTAAATGCAGTTGCTTAATTTGTATTCATACAGATGGGAGTAAATGGTATTCAAATGCTAGTTTTATTCAAACGAACTACGGTATGGTATTACTTGTACTCTTATTGTAGCGGGACGGCAAAAGGAGGCCGGCCCTCTATTTAAAGAGGACGAGTGTTCCACTAAAATGCCAGTAAAACTATGAACCTATGTCATGACGACGACAATGAGATGAGCTTACCGAACTTGTATTTACATTATTTCTACACAAGAGTCAAGATGATAATATTCTTTACACAAAGCAATAATCCACGATAAATGTAAGGCACAATAAAATAGAACGATAAAGGTCAAATGTCAACACACGGCTGGCTACATATGTTACAAATTACAGACGTGAATCATCCGGCCTCAAAATGAACACAATATTCTCACAAAAAGATCACATTATACACTAAAGTACTCACAGGGACGAATCTATAATACTAACCTTCCAAAATGATACTAACCTTCCAAAATACTAACCTTCCAAAATAAATTTGGAGCATGGCCGGAGCCATGCTCCCTACAAAATAGAGAGAATATATGCCCCAAATTTGTGGTGGTCTTCCCTGTTCAAGTCCCACAGAAGAAAACTTGTTACAAGTTGCCTTTGCGCGGGAAGCACAAAGGTCACACTATGCAAATCACCTTGCTAAACTTTTGGACGAACAACTGAGGGCGCACTTGGTCTCCCTACAGGTTCCCTACTTTAAGACCACGCGACCCGAGTGGTCCCAAATAACAGAAATACAAGGGCGACCTGGAAATGATTATATAAAATTCCCATTAATTAAGTGATCTACAACAATAACACCTTTTACATATCTCAATGCAGTACATTAAATTAAAACAGGTTCGATGTAATAATACTGCATAAAATTTATAGACATGTAGCAACGCTTTAAAGATAAAGGAAAATACAACATACATGTACATATCCACTCAAGGTTTGCTATATAAACCATCAGTAAGTCTAAACTGACATAAAATACATGATGGAATTAATATTCCACAAAACCTTCCCAAGTCAGCTCAAAATCATGTAAAGGATCACATAAACCCTGTTTGGGAAATTTTCACATGTCGAGATCTGTACACAGTATAGATAAACCAAGTACAATAGTGTTGCACCCAATCTCATTCCAAAATTGATGCATTGTAATACAATGAGATCAACTAGGGTTAAACACAATACATGGTGAAATTATTACAGAGCACCCCTGCATGCACCATACACTATACAATAAAACTGTGGTTTCATGCCAACAACTCTGAACATACACTCGTTGTAATTTTAATATGCATAACAAGGTAATGAAATCTAAATCACATTGGATCTGGATTAAGATAGAAGTGAATGTTTGTTATAATGGAACAATTGGATATGAAGTGGCAGGCAAACAGGAGGTTCATACACTACATATAGGTCTCAGATACAAGTGGCTGTCAATACACTCGTTTTGCTAGCAAAGCACTGAGGCAAAATGTATTTTTCTCAACCAATTCAGTGCATCCCAAGACAGGCTGCAAGGCAGAATAATACAAAGTCTCGTTCACACTGTGAAAACAAACAGTTGGACAACTCAACCAACTACAATATCCTTCACCCACATAAGGCTAGGAAAACAATTACATTTCTACCCCAAAGCAAAGCTAAACTGGTAGGAGCAACACCCATCACTAATAGTGCTTAGGGCAACAACAATAGAAAAGGAATTTACAAAGTACATACACACATACATTTCCTGAAAATGGTCCTATAAATGGTAGATTGCATGGTGAAAGTGCCAGACAAAACTCACTAAAAGGGTATACAAAAATATCCCATAAAATTGGTGAGTAAAAATAGTTGGAATACACCAAACTACAAAATTGCTGACAAACTGTTCCACTTAGCAACTACACTAAAATTAGGAATCCACAATCCCGTCACTAAACGTTCTTAGGGAATAAATTTGGAAATGGAAACAAAGACACACAAATTCCTATCCCATATAAAATCGATGAGAGAGAAAAACATGAAAATGCCACGTCTCTGTGAACCAACCTTGACAAGTCAGGAAAACCCTTAATAAATGCATCTGCCTGAATCATGAAAATATAATGATCCATTAGTCATCATACAAAAGATACACCTACATGAACATGCTATAAAAACACAAAATTATAAAAGGCATATATAATAGTTGTACAACAAATCGTACAATAATCTCATTCAAACATGTGATTGACAACAAAAATTTCCAAAATAAATGGAAAAATATAAAATACAAGTTTATACAATGAAATAAGGAAATATGGTGCGGATAAATCCTGTGTCCCTTTTTTTTTTAAAGAGCAAAACACCAATATTTATACAGTAAGATATGGAGGGGCAGCTTGAGCTATCAGTACATAGCCAAATACATGTACAATGATCATGCTAGGTATAGATAAACACAAGTACTTTTAAGTAATGGCATTTGGCTACAGACCCCGAATATGAGGTACTGTACTCCTGTCAACAGTCATTATGGTCACCACTACTGCCAACACACAGAAATAAGCTGCGATACCCAAAGACAAGGGAGGGTTCCCTACTTTTTCTTGGGCTTTGCCATCGGACAAACTAAGTGAGGGGTGTGTTACATTACTGTAGCTAATTACATGAAGGCTATCATCGAAAACACTCACAGTGGGAGAAACAGAAACTACTCCTTCCACCTGCACATTACAAAAATCAGCAGCTTCAAGTAAAACCATCTCAATTAGAAGCGGCTTAGCCTCTTCAAAAATAGCATCTACCACCTCAACTGTATGAGAACACATAACAAGGTCAGGACACTGCGATTCATGAACCCTGTCTTCACTAGGCTTCTCGAAACATTTCAAAATAGCGGCAAATCTATCATTCAGTGCAGCTTCAATGCTACTCACTGCATTTCTATCAATAGGACAAGCATCTTCATTATGTTCACATAAAATATTTGTGAAGGCACTAACTATGGTCCTAGCTAAAGCACTATTTGACTTCGAAATAGAGTCTGGCACAGTTGGAATAATTACCTTGGAATGCACACACAGAAATATGACTTGTTATAAAATCAGGCCTCAATCACTGACCTACAATCAAGTCTGCATACAAACAGACAATAAAATACAAGTCAAAAGTATACTACACTGTAGAAAAAAAGTACAATTCCACTATAAAACAATCTAATAATACAAGAAGCAAATGACACAATGCACCGGTATAAAATGTCGAAAAAAATGCAATTAGCTGAACACCAGAAGTTACAATGGTGTGTGTGCAACAAGCAATACTAGTATTTGACTCAAAAACACTCAATCCAAAGCACAGGCCAACAAATGGCTCTATAATTATCTGCTCCTAATATAGAATCTACTACAGATTCACACAATTAAGGCACAACTGCCTAAAAACTGAACAGATCTAAGCTTGGATACAAAATGGTCAAATATCAAATACAATTCTAAAAATAGATTGTTACAATGAAAGTTACACAGCACACAATGTACCTTGTCAATGAAGTCCTCTCAACGCAGGGTGAGGCAAAAATCAAATGATGACCATCACGTCTATGATCGCGACAATCAAACACACGGAAGCGATTTAGTGCAATTCGTGAACACGAATTCCGGTGCACTAGAAAATCTAAAGTCCGGGGCAAAATATTTCCGGATAAAAACGCGTCGTCAATAAAAAGTTCACGGCTATGTAGAAATGTCAACTGTCGGAGCACTCAATCCTGTCTACGACGCCATTTTGTAGCGGGACGGCAAAAGGAGGCCGGCCCTCTATTTAAAGAGGACGAGTGTTCCACTAAAATGCCAGTAAAACTATGAACCTATGTCATGACGACGACAATGAGATGAGCTTACCGAACTTGTATTTACATTATTTCTACACAAGAGCCACAAGATGATAATATTCTTTACACAAAGCAATAATCCATGATAAATGTAAGGCACAATAAAATAGAACGATAAAGGTCAAATGTCAACACACGGCTGGCTACTTATGTTACAAATTACAGACGTGAATCATCCGGCCTCAAAATGAACACAATATTCTCACAAAAAGATCACATTATACACTAAAGTACTCACAGGGACGAATCTATAATACTAACCTTCCAAAATGATATAAATTTGGAGCATGGCCGGAGCCATGCTCCCTACAAAATAGAGAGAATATATGCCCCAAATTTGTGGTGGTCTTCCCTGTTCAAGTCCCACAGAAGAAAACTTGTTACAAGTTGCCTTTGTGCGGGAAGCACAAAGGTCACACTATGCAAATCACCTTGCTAAACTTTTGGACGAACAACTGAGGGCGCACTTGGTCTCCCTACATTACTATGAACTTTGTTAATATTATTTTTTCGCGATGAACATTCATAATGCAGTAATGTTTGCGCAGAATTATGTGCTTTTAAATTTTTAAGGTGGCCCCTGCCAAGCCTTGAAAGAGTGATTATTTTCAGATTTTATCAAGTGTTTTTTAGTAGAAGCGTTTGCTTAATTGTTATTCATAAATACCTAAGACAGTTTACGCATTCCTATTGGTCGAGAGCCCGTCACGTGGCCGGTCTTAAACACTTTTCCAGTGTCACAATAAAATGTGGACTCCTAAAAATCCAGTGCCTCTTATCGTTTCATTGGTTGAACGTTCACAATCCTCACGTAGGCATGCGCAACACTACCAGGGAGTCAGAATTTTATAGTTCTAAATTCAAAACGCAACGCGCCAGGTGCGTTCTGCGCGACATCGCGCAGAACATGATACGCGCGCGTCAATCTCCATAAAAGGGTTGTTTACATCTTACCATTATTTTGCAAGAGGGATGTTTCAAAAAGCATAAAGTGAATTTGTTGAACAAAATCGGGATGTTTTGAACGAATTATATGATTTTTTTTTTACCGAAAAGGTATTTATGAATGGGAATAAATATGTGCTCCGTCGGTATTTATCACTCTGTTTAAGACCACTTAGAGTCTGGGTGCTGATAATTACCCTCGCCTCCGGCTCGGGTAATTATCAGCACCCAGACTCTAAGTGGTCTTAAACAGAGTGATAAAAACCTCTGGAGCACACATTTATTCCCTTATTCATACACATGCCAGCAAATGCTTGAAAATGGGTAGTAAAAGCAAATGCTATGTTTTATTCATACGAGCATGATGGTATCATTCGAACTTTGTTAATATTAATTTTTCGCGATTAACATTAATAAATGCAGTAATTTTTATGCAGAATTATTTGCTTTATATTTGCGAAGTTGCCCCAACCCAGCCTTGTAAAATGACAAGTGCAAATTTGAAATCTAAAGCATTTACTTCTTTTTTTTTCATACGAAATGAAGTAAACGATTAAATTTTTTTTTAATTCTGGTAAGGAAACCAAGGACTCCGCAAAAGTGCATGCCCCAGGCACTGTAGCTCGTAAACCTGAGGAAAAAAAAAACCAGTAGAGAGAAGACAATGAGAAGAAATTACAATTTTAGAGGAGGGAGGAAAACCCCAAAAGAATATTCTGGGAAAAACCACGGAATCAGGTATGGACTGAAAACCCACTCCACATGTAGACCAGGGTACCGATGCACAGCGCATTGAGCACATAAACGTCTTTGCGTTCGTCACGTTTGGCGCACGTTTTTTTAATCTGTCCTCCAGCTTGTGACCCTAGATATACATGTAAGTGAGTATAAAATCTCCGACTAGTATAAATCTGATGTAAGGGTCTTTCCACACAAACGGTAACAGAAGTGTGACATTTAGAGGGAACCATGGTCGATGATACATGAAGTAATCTGTCATGTTTTTCCTCTTTTTATATCCAATATCCAAGTGAGAACGTTCCCCACCAGCAAGTTTGATAAGTTTTAAAGTGTTTGGAAGCAGTAAATGAAAACATGAATTATCCCAAATTTGTTCCTAAAGTAGAGCTATCCATAGAGGGATTGCAACTGGCTAATCTGACATTAAACCTCTACCGGTAGGTATTTTTTTAACTACAGGATGTACACATCTTCAAGACTTCTTGTTCATAACAGGGACAGAAATTTGTCTCAAGTTTGTGTTCTTGTTACGAATTACGAATACAATGTATGTATCCAGTCGCATCCTAATTTCATAAATAAAACATGTTGTTTTAGTGTTGAATGATACCAATCCAACATTGAATAAATGATATAAATGAACAAGGGATGGATTAATTGAAATTGTACATTTATACAGTAATGTAAAGTCACTTCTTAGGAGGGGTTATGAACCCCAAATTGCGCCCCGCCGGACCCACCTTTGTTTGACGTGACTGCAATTTTGCAGCAAAAAAAGAAAGATTGTAATTTCTTCTCATTGTCTTCTCTCTACTGTTTTTTTTTTCAGGTTTACGATTTACAGTGCCTGGAGCATGCACTTTTGCGGAGTCCTTGGTTTCCTTACCAGAATAAAAGAAAAATAAAATAATCGTTTACTTCATTTCGTATGAAAAAAAAAGAAGTAAATGCTTTAGATTTCAAATTTGCACTTGTCATTTTACAAGGCTGGGTTGGGGCAACTTCGCAAATATAAAGCAAATAATTCTGCACAAAAATTACTGCATTTATTAATGTTCATCGCGAAAAATTAATATTAACAAAGTTCATAAAGTACAAATGATTCCATGCTCGTATGAATAAAACATAGCATTTGCTTTTACTACCCATTTTGAAGCATTTGCTGGCATGTGTATGAATAACAATTAAGCAAACGCTTTTACTAAAAAAAACACTTGCTAAAATCTGAAAATAATCACTCTTTACCTTTTAGCTTTCGCTAAACTTTAAGCGTTTACTTCGTTTCATATGAATAAAATGGAGTAAATGCCTCAGATTTCAAATATTTACTTGTCACATTTCAAGGCTTGGTAGGGGCCACCTTGAAAATTTAAAAGCACATAATTCTGCGCAAACATTACTGCATTTATGAATGTTCATCGCGAAAAATTAATATTAACAAAGTTCATAGTAAGTACAAGTAATACCATACCGTAGTTCGTTTGAATACAAACTAGCATTTGCATACCATTTATAGTCAGGTGGCTTAGATCTAATTTTCGTCAAGATCGTGACCGTCTGGTCCAAAGCACCAAACTTGGCAGATAGATTCTTATAGACCTAGAGATGATATTTAGAAGGGGTGACACCGGGAATTTTTTTGGGAAGGGTGCCTAATTTGCATAAATCGTTAATCCCTGCCGTGTAATATATTTATTCCCATATTTGGGTATATATTTTTATTTTTTATTTTTTGAAAAGTGTATTTTGGGGATTCTACTTGCATATCTTTACTAAAATGACATTTTCCAAAGCATATAAGTGACTGAATAATTATAAGGACATAGTAACGATCCAAAATGGTTACTATTATGCCCTAAATTGCGCGCATTGACCTTGTCCCCAGATATCATCAATTAGTCTTGCCAAACATCAGCATTGATGAACTTCAAATTCACCACGTAGCTTACTGGTACAGTTACCCTATTGAAACCTTATGCAAAATCATGTGAACAATGAGAACATTGTGATATTTAGCTCAGAAAACAAAAACTGGGGAAAAAAACGAGGTGTCCATAAATTGGGCTAACAAGTAAGGTGAAGGGTTGCCTCACATGGAAGACTGGAACAAGTTCAAGGAAATTCCCAAAATTATTGTTGAGAAAACGTTTTGGCGTAGACAAACTTATTGTAGACAACAATAATCTTTTATTTGGGGGGATTTTGTTGAACTTGTTCAAGTCCCCACGTTACCCTTCCCGTTGTAGCCCAATTTACGGACACCACATTTTCTCCCCTTTTTGGGTCTTTTGGGCCAAACATCAAGATGATATAAATTTTCACATAATTTCCCACTTATTTTTGTTAGGTTAACTATGTCAGTAAGTACCTTTGTGAATTTGAAGCTCATCAATACCCACGTTTGGCGAGACTAGTTGATGATATCTGAGGAAAAGGTAAATGCGCGTAACTTTAGGGTAAATAGTAGCAATTTCGGTGATTTACTATGTCCTCGTAATTATTCAGTCCCTTACATGCTTTAGAAAATGTTATTGAAGTAAGAATTTGCAAGTAGAATCACCAAAATACACTTTTCAAAAAAATAAAAAAATAAAAATATACCCAAATATGGGAAAAATATATTACACGGCAGGGATTACAGATTTATGCAAATTAGGCACCCTTTCCAAAATAATTTCAGGTGTCACCCCTTCTAAATATCTTCTCTAGGTCTATAAGAATCTATCTGCCAAGTTTGGTGCTTTGGACCAGTCGGTCACGATTCCAACCATATGCCACCTGACTATTACTCCCATCTGTATGAATACAAATTAAGCAACTGCATTTACTCAAAAACCTTGAGTAGATGGCCTGCACAACGTAAAGGTATTTATGTTGCATTTGGATAAGGGTGTTCACAGATAACATTATATAATCAAATCTAAAAGCACATGGGCGTCGCGAGGGGGGGGGGGCGCTTTGAAAAGGAAAATGGAAAAAAAGGAAAAAGAGGTGCGAAGCCATATTGCTGTTAATTTGAGGGGGGGGGGGGCAAATGTTTCCCTGCCCAAGGTCGGAAAATGATTATTGAGAATATGTTGAAAAAGTTAAGGAATTTGGGCGGAAAATGTGCTTTGCCCACCCCCCCCCCGGCAAAAAACCTGGCGACGTCCATGGCAAACTGCTCTCATTGCAAATTACTCGAGCGTCAACGTTGCATAGATCACTTTGACGTTCTTTCTTAACATGCTTAATTACAGGATTCTAATTGTGCAGGAGGAAAATAATATAGCCTTGCAAAATCAATGATATCTCTGGTTTTCTTGATATTTTCACCAATTATAAACAAGACCAGATGCTTTAAAAAGTACTAACTATAATAATACTATAATTGATTAGCTAGCATGACCACCTTTTGAGCAAATTAGCGACTTCTTCATGCACAATGTTTACTGGGACACGCCGTATTTTGAAAAACTATCCCATTTAAAGTTTGGTCAACAATATTGCACACAAATGCAAAGTCATATTGGCAAGATGTCAAATACCAAAGTGATGAAACTGGCTACCTAAATTTGAACTTTACATGACTGAACAATGTCAGGTTTTATGAAACGTATGCTGCATTAATTGATGAAGTACCGTGGCCTTCGTGGCGTCATGTTGAGAGATATTAAATGATTTTGCATCTCTTGATTGAATAATTTTATCAATCGTGCAGTATGATGTTGTTGCTGATGAGCTGG